TATCAAATGCCTCTGTCTTGGCTGACTTTCTTTCCTGAGAAAGACCAAAGTAGGGGGGAAATGCAAACCATTTCTGTTCATCCTTCAGGGAGTTGCCCAATAGGATGAGAAAAAAATTTAAAAAAAACCTACAATTTTTTGAGAGCAAGATCTATTCAACTCCATCTGGCACCAGGAACCCACACTGGGAACCCAGGCTGCTGTCTTCAAGGCCACTGCTGAGCTAGAGAGGGAGAAATGGACCAAAGGAAAGGGAAAGTATGATCCCACTAAGCTCTGCTACTGAGTTCCAGTTGTTTTTTCTGCATTCAGTTGGTTGCTAAAAACTTTTGAGGATTTTTCAGAATTTCAATACACTTAATTGTTTGTCAACCCAATCAGAATACCTGTTGGTACAGTCCAGGAATCTGTGTTTCAACAACTCTCTTCAAGATTTTTGCGTTAAAGAGTGTGTGTGTGTGTGTGTGTGTGTGTGTGTGTGTGTGTGTGTGCTGATGTTTCACATTGTCTCTTGTGTCATCTCTCTTTTGGGAGGCTGGGCTCCTCAAGTCATAAACCTCCCTCTCCCACCCTAGAGTAGCCACTCTTGTTTTTAACACAGATGAGTTCTGCCAGTTCTAGCTGAATGGCATTATACTGTCACCATCATCCTCCTGGGTCTCATCATCTTGCTGTGTGTGTTCGTAGCCTATTCACTGCCATGGCTGTCCAATGCTCCACTTTATAAATAGCTTACACTTCTTGACCCTTCACTGTTGATAGACAACTGTGTTGTATCCAGATTTTACAAATCATGCTGCTATGAATAATAATTTCATATACTTTGGCATACACATACATGCATTTCTGTTGGTTTATAACTAAGAGTGCAATTGCTGGGTCATAGGTGAGTCATAGCTTGGCTTAGTCTCTCAAAAAACAAGTTAATATGTCCATCTTTTGTGGTATAGATATTATATGTAATGTATCTATATACATTATAAGTACCACAAGAAAAATATTTTTCTTACCTTTAAACAGTTCTGTGTAAAGGAAGTGTAAATGAGAGGAGCAACATAGCCTTTTGCACTTAGGTCATTATTTACCATTTTTGATCATCTTCATCTTTTCCAATAATCTCATTTTCCACCTGGTGTCATTTTTCCCTAGCCTGAAGAATTTTCTTTACCAGTTGTTATTGTGCAGATCTACTGGTGACAAATTCTTTTAATTTTCTCTTACCTGAAATATCTCCCTATTTTGCCTTTCCTTGAAGGCCATCTGTGTCGGATATAGAATTCTTAGTTGCCTTTTTTTCTTCCAACACTTTGAAGATGTTATTCTACTTTATTTTCTTTCTATGGCTTCTAATAAGAAGTCACTGGTTAAGGACAAGAGGAGGAACAGAGAAAAAAAAACTGGGAAAAGAGCATGGTAGACCTAAAACTTATCATATCAATAATGACAAAAATCTGCATGAATCAACACTCCAGTGAAGGACTAAGATTATGTGACTTGGTTTATAAAAAACAGGAAACTCAGCCATATGCTGTTTCCATCATGCACTTTTTATTTTTTATTTGACTTTTTTGTTAGTTAAGGAGTACATGTGCAGGTTTGTTATATATGTAAACTTGTGTCATGGGGTTTTGTTGTACAGATTATTTCTGTACCCATCAGTATCCACCCAAGTATTAAGGCTTAGTATCCATTAGCTCTTTTTCCTGATTCTCTCCCTCCTCCCATCCTCCACCCTCAAGTAGACCCCTGTGTATGTTGTTTCCCTCTGCGTGTCCATGTTTTCTCATCATGTAGCTCCCACATATAAGTGCGAACATGTGGTATTTGGTTTTCTGTTCCTGTGTTACTTTGCTAAGTATAATGGCCTCCAACTCTATCCATGTTCCTGAAAAGGACATGATCTCATCCTTTTTCATGGCTACATAGTATTTTATGGTATATAAGTGCCACATTTTCTTTATACAGTCTCCCATTGATGGACATTTTCATTGACTCCAAGTCTTTGCTATTGTGAATAGTGCTGCAGTGGACATATGGGTACACATAAGACAGGCACTCTCTTTTTTTATTTAATTTCTTTATTTTAAGTTCCAGGATACATATGCAGAATATGCAAGTTTGTTACATATGTATAATCTGCCCTGGCAGTTTCCTGCACCCACTGACCCATCCTCTAAGTTCCTTCACCTTGCTCCCTACTCTCCAACAGGTTCTGGTGTGAGTTGTTCCCCTCCCTGTGTCCATGTGTCCTCATTGTTCAACTCTCACCCATGTTAGGAGTGAGAACATGTGGTGTTTGGTTTTCTGTTCTTATGTCAGTTTGCTGAGGATGATGGCTTCCAGCTTCATCCATGTCTAAAGCAGTGGAAGAGCCTAGCAGGGAGTTCTTTGCATTCGGTATTTAATACATTTTGTAGGACTGCCTAAAAACTAATGGCCTCCTCATGATTTTTTTTTATAAAGGGGGTTACAACAATATAAAGCGTCTAAATAAAATGTGCACACCGCTTAGATGTGCATGGTTCAAGAAAACAGGCAGTGCTGGTGCATTGGTGAAGAGCATTGGGACTGCATGGAGCACTTGTAACTTTAAGGTGATAGCTACAGGCTCCCGGTTGCCATACGCAGTAACAAACTCTGCTTCTTTGTATTCAGGAGCTGTTCTGGACTCACACAGAGAAACTCGGGCTAGGGAATGAAGACAATTTTATATGCAACAACCCAGAGTCAAAGATTCATAGTCCTGGAAAGTAAAACAGGAGCTTTGAGAGTTTAATTGTAATGCTATTTTGACACAGGTCTTTTACAGACTGGAATTCCAATCATTCAGGGATTATCAATATTGTGCTACCTACTGTATTAATAAACAAAAAGGAAACTGGTCTCTATGAGAATATCTGGTGCCTTCAGAAAAAAACTTCACCAGGTTTAGAGAGAAAACCTCTGTCTGTACACCTCCTCCATTCCCAGGGCAAGCTCACTCTCTGGAGTCAAGTTCCCCGTGGTGAGTTTGCCCGTACAAGAGTCCAAGGGGAGAGGTAAGGAGTGGCAGGCAGGGAGTCCAGTTCAGGGACGGGGATTCCAGGACGAGAAGTGAAGGGAAAGGGGCTGGGCGCAGCCTGGGGGTCCCACCCTGTTTTCCACAGGCAAATCCTTGACCAGGACTCAGGCAGACAGTGTGACAAACAGGCTTAGTGTAGAAGAGAGATCAGGACAAAGTCCCAGGTCCCAGGCATGGCTCTCAGAGTCTCAGGCTCTGAGGGCCCTGTCTGCATTGGGGGGACGCAGCGCTGATTCCCCACTTTCCTGCTTCGCTTCCTCTCCCAATCTGTGTCGGGTCTTTCTTCCTGGATACTCATGACGCGTCCCCAATTCCCACTCCCATTGGGTGTTGGGTTTCTAGAGAAGCCAATCAGCGTCGCCGCGGTCCCGGTTCTAAAGTGCCCAGTCACCTTTTGCAACTCCGATTCCACCCAAATGCCGAGGATGGGATCATGGCGCCCCGAGCCCTCCTCCTGCTGCTGTCGGCGGCAGTGGTCCTGGCCGAGACCTGGGCGGGTGAGTGCGGGGTCGCAAAGGAAACGGCCTCTGCGGGGAGGAGAGAGGGGCCCGCCCTTGGGGCGCAGGACGCTGGGAGCCGAGCCAGGAGGAAGGTCGGGCAGGTCTCAGCCCCTCCTCGCCCCCAGGCTCCCACTCCTTGAGGTATTTCCAGACCGCCGTGTCCCGGCCCGGCCGCGGGGAGCCCCACTTTTTCGCCGTGGGCTACGTGGACGACACGCAGTTCGAGCGGTTCGACAGCGACGCCGCAATTCCGAGAGGGGAGCCGCGGACGCCTTGGATGGAGCAGGAGGGGCCGGAGTATTGGGACCTGCAGACACGGAGCCTCAAGGCCCGCGCACAGACAAACCAAGTGTGCCTGCGGACCCTTCGCGGCTACTACAACCAGAGCGAGGCGGGTGAGTGACCCCGGCCCGGGCGCAGGTCGCGACCCCTCCCTATTACCCACGGACGGCTCGATTCTCCCTGAGTCTCCAATGTCCACCCCGAGGCTGCGGAACCTGCCCATACGCTCCACCCGGGAGAGCCCCAGGCGCCTTTACCCGGTTTTATTTTCAGTTTAGGCCAAAATCCCCACGGGTAGGTCTGGGGCGGGGGCGGGGCTCAGTGGGAGGGGCTGACCTCGGGGTCGGGGCCAGGGTCTCACACCTACCAGAGGATGTATGGCTGCGACTTGGGGCCTGATGGGCGCCTCCTCCGCGGGTATGACAAGCGTGCCTACGACGGCAAGGATTACCTCGCCCTGAACGAAGACCTGCGCTCCTGGACTGCGGCGGACAGGGCGGCTCAGGTCACCCAGCGTAAGTTCGAGGCGGCCCATGAGGCGGAGAAGATGAAAGCCTACCTGGAGGGCACGTGCGTGGAGTTGCTCCGCAGATACCTGGAGAACGGGAAGGAGAGGCTGCAGCGTGCAGGTACCAGGGGCAGTGAGAAGTCTTCCTCATCTCCTATACATCTCCCGGTCTGGCCACCCATGAGGAAGGGAGAAAAATGGGATCAGCTCCAGAATATTGCCCTCCCTTCAGTTGAGATTGGCATGAGTTTTCCTGAGTTTCCTCTGAGGGCCCCCCCTGCTCACTAGGACAATTAAGGGATGACTTCTCCGAGGAAATGGAGGGGAAGACAGTCCCTGGAATATTGATAGGGGTCCCCTTTGACCCTTGCAGCAGCCTTGGGTGCCGTGACTTTTTCTCTCAGGCCTTGTTCTCTACCTCATACTCAGCGTGTTTGAATGTCTGATTCCAGCTTTTCTGAGTCCCTCGGCCTCCATTCAGGTCAGGACCAGAAGTCGCTGTTCGTCTCTGAGAGACTAGAACTTTCCAAGGAATAGGAGATTATCCCAGGTGCCTGTGTCCAGGCTGGTGTCTGGGTTCTGTGCTCCCTTCCCCACCC